GCTAACGGAATCCAGTCTGTTTTGATAAATAGAGTTGTTCTTTTCGCTCAAGTGTTTTTATCTCGATAAAACACGGTCCGACAGTTTACCAATATCAGGACCGAGAACCACCATAAAATCAAGTAATAAATAATGAGAGGTTGGTTTGTACATTAGGAATAAGTATCATATCACGTTTACACCGTTGCATTTGAGATATAGGTGTGCTGAAGAACAAACAAGAAGGGAGAGCTTTCTTGCGGTTCATAAATTACCGTATGCAAATTAGCTACAGAAAGTTATGTAATGTGTAGTCCAGGACACATTTTTTTACCGTTTTCTTGATGACAAAGAGTTGTGTTTTTCTTTTTTTTTTCTTTGTATTGTAGGAGTTTTTTCGGTATTTTGTGACAAAATTTTGTATTATATTTTTATGACCATTTTCATTTTCTACGAGGCGCCAAAAAGGAGCCGTGTGTTTCTGTTTCACCTAATTCAATTACTGATTAATTTGGAAAAAGGAATTCGACGGCAGCTACATTTCCTTTCATTACAGTTACATCTCTTCAAAAAGACACGAAATGTTTTTTGATTAAAGCTTATGAAAGTAAAACTTTTCAACTTTTCTGTGTGGCGTTTCTATTTTTTGCGAAATAATATTTGGCAAACTTGTTTATTTCTTCCTAATTCAATTAAAATCTGTCGGGAACAAAAAGATTTTTCGGCAAGATTTTCAGACAAATCCGAGACAGTGTTTCTTGCGACGTTTTCTTTATTAGCACTAAAAATGTCTGTTGTTCCCCCAAATTGTTCTCTTTACGAAATACTTCAAAGTCCGTGCGGTTCTAGTAGGGAGGAAGTAGAGCATGTTTTGCTCTCGGAGTGTAACGCAGATATATCCGCCCATTTGGCTAGCTGCCACTTGTCAAAATGCAGTGAAGTTACAGAAGCTAAGTTAATCATGGCGAGAGCGGGGATTCAGCATTTGTTGAGAATTCAGCTCGAGGGAATGACCATCTGCCCGAGGCACAGACACTTACTGGGAAGATTCTGGCGAGGTCCAAGATCGTGCCGATACCCTGGCCATACTGGGAAAGTTACAAGTGTGACGGGCAGCCACGTCATAACCTTTCAAATAGCTGACGAAATAAGACTTATATTCAAAGAAATCGCCGCTGTAGGATCACGTAAGTACCAATAGCCTTGTGGCTCTCTCTAGTTCTGTTTCCTCAAATGTCAATACCCCTAGAAGTTTTCGTTGTTGTTGGTCACATGTCCATTTCCCTTGGTTAGTTATTGGTGTCGCAATCGTAAATACAAAAATGCGTGTTTTATCATCAACTAAGGAAATTTCTTTAATTCTTTAATTCTTTTATGCTATTGCTACACTAAAACTACTGGGCAGCCTTGCTAGTGGTAATGAAGGAAACAAATATAGTCCTGAGCGGTGAATCTGCATCTCCTTCCCATGCCTCGCGCGATGTCGCCCCTCTTTTACTCGTCTCTACGGTTCGAAAAAACTTTTCCTTTATCTCACACGCACAACGACAAGTGTTACGCACGATAGAGACTATAGGTCTCCTAGATGTGTTTGAAACGCCCAGTATTTCTCTTAGAAATGATTTAGGCTAAGCTAGACGATGACAATGACGATGATGAAGACGACGACGATTTATCAGTTGTATTGATGCAACTTTATAGCTATTTGCACCACTTGCCGGAAGAAGCATTCTAAGCGACTGTTGAGTTTGGGATGGCACAGTTCTACCAAAGGTTCAGTCAACCAGGAAGCTGCGGATTCTGAGAGGTTTGTTGGATATTTTATTGTTTCTAAGATACCTCACCACGCAAGGTGTTTATTCGCATGCCACGCCATACATCGAAAGCGCATGCCTGAGACATAGATTGTGTTGGTGGCTGCAGATTTAACTTTCTCTGGGATAACACAGTTACCCCTCTTTTCCTTTGTGAATCCCTTTCTTTACCGACTCGTTCCTTCGAAGAGAACATGTCAAATAATGTCCGTTCATACCGTCAGTAAGATTGTTTAATCTTATAGAGCGGCCAAAGCTGATGCAAGAACAGCCATAGAAGCACGTGCTGCTGAAATGGAAACAACGCCATTTCATCAGATTTCTACCCCTAATAGGAAACCCTTTTCTAGTTCCTGTTGGACTCCAGCAACTCCTGAAGCAACTTCCGTCAGATCCCCTTAAACCGAGATTCTTGGTACTTACAATGCTGCGATGGACGAGGTTGCAAGAAATATTCCTCACAAGCGACAGCCACTACCATCACAGCTTGTCTCGTGGGAAGAAAGCAGTCCAGCCCAGTGACAGTTCTACATCGAGAAAGTGGTTGAAGACTGTATGCTCGTTTGTAATGCGATAGCCCAAACTACGGCAAGACGCTCTTTCACGCCTTGTTGTCTCCAGGTGGAGAAAAGGATGAGACAGCAGAAGCTGATGATTTGTTGAAATCTTTGATGACCGCTTACAAAAACGCCAAAACCAAAAGCATCAAGACGCAAATTCTTATAAATACTCGGTTAAATAAATATAAATACTCGGTTAGCACATTAAAAGAACTTCACTCGCCATATGGAAAGTTGTCTACACGACAGATACAGAGAGCGCGGTGTCATGCAAGAACGATAGGTCCCGGTCAAGTGCCTGAGGAGAAGGTACATCAACGTGTTCGCATTGATATGACCAAAGTCGATCATTTCGTTAAGTTCATTAATCGCCCATACTTTTATCAAGACGTGTCTTACGGAACTAAATTCCTTAAGCTAGACAGTGGCGAAACCATCGAGATGCGGAACGTGGTGCGTCCAGTGACGTGGTCTACGATGATTAGCCAGTACATACAGTTTTGTCAGGAGGAGAAGTTTGAACTCTCAGTGGCACCACTTTATTCAAAATCCTAGAAGTCAGACAAGCTTCACAGAGAAAGTCTTTACAAGGCCTCGACAATACTGCTGCCGATGGCTCTGCTGGTTTCCAGAAAATTGAAATAATTGTCGATGATCTAGAGAAAGGAGGAATGAATAGGCAATGGTGCGTTGGGGTTAAGGAAAGGCTTAAGAGTGAAAAACGCTACTTAAAGACCAATTATCGCGTTCACTGCAATCCAGAGGAAGCTTTATGTCTTGATCATTGCCGCAAGTTCGCTTTAAGTGACGAAAAAGATCCCGACTTCCAGGAGAAATGCTCCCATCAACACACAGAAAACTGTAACGAGTGTCAAAATCTGCGAAATGTCTTAGATGAAGTCGAAGACAAAGTTCAAGGTCCATTTTGGATCCCTTACGGCAATGAACATCGAAACGATCTGCTATACGACTTCAAACTGGCACAGATATTTTTGAGTGGAAGGCTCATATTGTTCGCTCTGTAAAACAGGAAGTAGCAAAGCAAGATCAGCAAGACGATGAGTGCTAATCAGAACTGTGCATTGGTAATAATGGACTGGGAAATGAAATTCCTTCAGCTTAAATATCGTGAGAAGCAGTCAGATTGGTTTGGCAAGAGAGGATTGAGTTGGCACATCTCGACGGTGATCACACGTGATCCGAACCTTGAAGGAAGACTTGAACTGCGGTCCTATGCCCATCTGTTTGACGCATGCCAGCAGGACTGGTTCGCCGTGTGTTCCATCATAGAAAGCACACTGAGAGAAATTAAGACCGAAAAGCCTCACATCACCTGGGTTTATCTGCGGTCAGATAAAGCTGGCTGTTATCATAATAACTCCCTCATTGCAGCAGCAAGAGGAATTGGTAAGCAGGTGGGTTTAGAAGTTTGTCGGTACGACTTTTCAGAGCCAAAATATGGCAAGGACGTATGTGATAGAATTCTGTGTCCGATGAAAACATGCATCCGACGTTCCTGCAACGAAGGGCACGACATTCTATCAGTGGGAGACATGAGGAGGGTACTTTCTGAAAGACCAGTGAAAGGTACATCCGCATGCGTTTGCGAAGTTGACGAGGCAAAGATAACCCTAGAAGTGAACAAGATAGATGGTTTTAGCAAGCTTCACAATGTCCAGTTTGAGGAGAAAGGTATTCGTGTGTGGAGGTCGTACTGAATAGGGCGTGGCAAGGAATTCTCTTTTGACCAGCTGGTGTTAAAGGGCCTAGGGGACACTGGTATCATTGTTAGTGAAAAATTTTTATCTCTTCATGATGCACGTGTTTATCAATGCTCAGATCCTGTGACAGAGAGTTCAGAAGAAGAGAATGACTGGGACGATTCGAATATAAGCACGTTTGAATGTTCCGAGCCCGGATGCGTGAAGAGTTTCCAAACATTTTCAGAGCTCGAGTCACATTTGGACGTAGGGAATCATTGCGTCAAAGATGAAAGGCCGTCAGAAACGCTATATGACAAGCTTCGAAGAGATTGGGCAGACAGATTTACAACGTCAGTCAATGTCACTGAAAATGAACCGTCTAATATCCGCCAAAGTGAAAATGTCTCAATACCTGCATTGCACACTGTCATTATGGGCTGGGCCCTACACAGGCCACGAGCAGGATCCATTAGATTAACTGACAAAGTTAAGAATATCTAACTGCAAAGTTGGACCTAGGGGAACAATCAGGGCTGAAACCTGACTCTCAGCAAGTCTCAAGTGATATGCGCAAGACAAGAGATGAGCAGAATAGAAGGTTGTTTGAACGAGACGAGTGGTTGACTAAGAGCCAAGTACAGGGTTTCTTTTCTCGCCTTGCAGCAAGCAGAAGAAGGTAACAAGTGTAGTAACATGAAGTCCTAACTGACCGCTGACCGGCAGTAGGAGGTCGCGGGGTTAGAGCTGGATGAATCGATCGTATTAAAGCATGTTGTGTTTATGCCTGTCGTCTTGGTACCTTTACGGACTCAACATGGTGTCAGGAGTAGGATCTTCCTACTAGCCTACAGCTGTGGAGACAAAACCAGTCGGAGAAACGGATCAAATAGGCGAATTGACCGGTCAAACTTCGCGCGGATCCTACGCACGTGGTTTCAAACAAGATGGCGGAAAGCATGCCATTCGCCAAACCGCCGGAACCGCTGGAAATTTTGATGGGAAATCCTGCTCACTCGTGGGGAAAATGGAAACAAAAATTCGAAATTTACCTCAAGGCAATTGGAGCTTCAAAGAAACCCGATGAAATGAAAGTGGGGCTGCTATTAAACCACATCGGCGAGACGTGTTTGGAAATTTACTCGAATTTCACCTACTCACCTGAGCGTGACAACCCCGCGGGTGGAGAAGAGAAACTTCCAGCCGAAGACTCCGACAACTACGCGACCGTTGTGGCAAAGTTTGATGAATACTTTCAAAAACGGGACCCTCAACTCATGCTGAGAGAGAAATTTTGGCTTCACCTTAAACGAGAACCCACGCAGACCTTTGATTCGTGGGTCGTGACTGTCAAGGAAAGAGCCGCCGAGTGCAAGTTTCCAGCCGATTTCTATGAGCAAGCAGTTAGAGACAAACTTACCTTTTCCTGCAAGGAAGACAATTACAAGCTAAAACTCTATGACGAGGGAGCAGCCCTTTCACTCGAAAAGGCAGTGAAGATCCTGTCCTTGAAGGAAGCAACAAAACGCGAGTTACAAGAATCAAAAACCGCAGAGATTGAGAGTGTCACACCGCGAGGGAACAGGCCAGACCCTCATGCTGGTCAAGATACAGAGCAAAGGAACCAGCGAGACTCCAAGAGGAAGGCTTCCAAACAAGTGGCCGGAACTGTGGGTATTGCAACCGCCGACACCCCCCTGGAAAGAAGAACTGCCCAGCAGCGGATATACGATGCAGCAAATGCAACAAAATGGGACATTTCCCTATCATATGCAAGAGTGTACCTCCAAAAACGGTCAACGAAGTTCTCGAAACTGAGGATGACTTTAGCCTCACATTTGTGGGAGGGGTTACTACACCCACTTGTTCAAATACTTCCAAGGCAGAACCAGCAGCAAACTCTCAAATCAGTAGGTCCGACCCTGGATGGCATGTCAAACTCAAGATTCAAGATCAAGACACGCTGACATGGTGCATCGACACAGGAGCACAAGTGTCTGTGATGCCTGAGCACATCTACAAGTCCTCATATGGGACACTTTCAAAATCTGACAGAGAACTTGTCGGAGCAGGGGATGTTCCTTTAAAGACCCTTGGATGTGCAGTCATGAACCTCAAACAAGACGAAACAGTCATTAAAGAACGAGTGTACGTAGTCAGTGGGGCATCCAAGTTGCTTCTTGGGATACCCGCTATCCGAAGTCTTGGTCTTATCCATGACATCCCAGGGACATACAGTGTTAAAGCGGTCCATCAAACGCCTGATAGCCATCCACTCCAATCAGCGACTAAGGGGGACATTGTCAAGCAGTACCCGACACTCTTTCAAGGCCTTGGCAAATTGGAGGGTGAGCATACAATTCATTTGAAGGAAGGGGCCACACCCTTTTGTCTGACCACTCCCAGGCGAGTACCACTGCCACTTATGAAGCAAGTGCAGGAGGAGATCAAACGTATGGAACAACTGGACGTTATTGAACCAGTAGACGAGCCGACAGAATGGTGTTCACCGATTGTGGTAGTGCCAAAGGTCGATGGAAGGGTGCGGATATGTGTTGATCTCACAAGGCTTAACCAAGCAGTCCGCCGAGAAGTCTATCAAATGCCAACAGTTGAAGAGACACTGGGAAGCCTTACAGAGGGATCAGCATTCTCCAAACTTGATGCCAACTCAGGGTTTCATCAGATAGTCCTAAACCCAGAAAGTGCCAAGCTAACTACCTTTATTACGCCCTTCGGCCGTTACATGTTTAAGCGTCTTCCCTTCGGCATATCCTCAGCCCCAGAATATTTCCAAAAGAGGATGGACAAAGAACTCTCTGGAATAGAGAGGGTCAAGTGCCGCATGGATGATATTCTAATCATCGGGAGAGACCAAGCGGAACATGACAAACGACTTAAGCAAGTCCTTGACAGGCTAGTCGAGAGGAAACTAACACTCAACCTTGAGAAGTGTTTATTTTCTCAGTCCAGGTTGCAATACTTGGGCCAAATCATCGACAGTGATGGAATCAGGAAAGATCCTTCCAAGGTCATAGCTATCACCGACATGGCAGAACCTCAGAACATTGCAGACCTGAGACGTTTCTTAGGTTTGGTCAACCACCTTATGAAGTTTTGCCCAAATCTGGCTGAGAAGACGAAACCCTTAAGAGACTTGCTTAAGAAGGAGAGAGCGTGGGTGTGGGACACAGCCCAACAAGAAGCCTTTCAACAGCTGAAAGCAGACATGGCATCCGACCAAGTTCTTGCACTGTACGATCCAGAGAAGGAGACCATGGTCTCATCTGATGCCAGCAGTTTTGGACTTGGTGCAGTCCTTATGCAGAAACAGCCGTCCGGTGAGATGAGGCCAGTGGCCTATGCTAGCAGATCAATGACCGAGACAGAGCGTCGTTATGCCCAGATCGAAAAAGAGGCCTTGGCTATCACATGGGCACTTGAACACTGGGCTGAATTCTTGATCGGAATGAGATTTAAAGTGGAAACAGATCACAAGCCATTGATTCCATTGTTTTCCACAAAGCTGATTGACGAGCTACCAGTGCGCATACAACGCTTCAGGATGAGACTCATGAGATTTGACTTTGCCATCGCACATGTTCCGGGCAAACTCTTGTACACAGCTGATTCATTGTCTCGATCACCCCAGGAGGGTAAAGCCCAGGAGCCTAAGTCATGGAACGACCTACATGACGAAGTCGAGTGCTATGTGAATGCTGTATTGGTAACCCTACCTGCCTCGGACCAGCGGTTAGATGAGATACGTTCTGAGTTGAAGAATGATGACACACTTAAAACTGTGATGCAGTATGTACAGAATGGATGGCCTGAAGAGAAACGAAGAGTCCATGGGCCAATAGCTAAATACTGGAGTGAACGTGGCAACATCTCCCTCCACGACGGTCTGCTTCTGAGAGATCGACGAATCATTATACCTCCAAGGCTAAGAGCAGATGTATTAAGGCGTCTTCATGATGGTCATCAAGGGATTACCAAAACACGTGCGAATGCGGCCTCCTCAGTGTGGTGGCCTGGAATCTCCCAAGACATTACAAGAGTTGTGCAGAACTGTGCCATGTGTGAGAAATATCGCAGAGAACGCATTGAGCCAATGAAAGGTACTGAGTTTCCAGAACGACCGTGGAGCAGAGTTGGCGTAGACTTCTTTCAGCACAAGGATAAACATTACCTCCTAGCCGTAGATTACTTTTCAAGAGACATAGAGATAAGTCAAGTGTCCAAGAATGTAAACTCTGCCCAGACTATCCTGCAACTTAAGAAGATCTGCAGTCGACATGGGATTCCAGACATCTTATTTAGCGACAACGCCCCGCAGTTTGATTCACGCGAGTTCACTACCTTTTCCACAGACTGGCAGTTTCAGCACATAACCTCATCTCCAAGATACCCCCAGTCCAACGGAGAAGTGGAAAGGGCGGTCCAAACTATGAAGACAGTCTTGAATAAGAGTAGTGACGAATACTTGGCTCTCCTGAACTACAGAGATACTCCATTGCATCACGGTTACTCTCCAGCACAATTAAGCATGGGTCGGAAACTTCGTACTAGAGTCCCCTGTCACCCAGATGAGCTGAAGCCAGAGACCCCAGACTATGATCACATCAGAAGAAAAGAGAAGGAGTACCGAGCTAAGATGAAATTCGATTATGACCATAGACACAAAGTAGTAGAGGGAGAGGAACTCTCACCCGGCGACCGTGTTTGGATTCCTGATCTGAAAGCAGAAGGGACAGTAATTAAGCAACACGAGTCTCCAAGATCACTAGTCATTCAGACCCGAAATGGCCAAGTGAGAAGGAATCGGCGGATGACACGAAGAGTTTTTGAGGGAAATCCTCCGGTCTCACCCCAGAATGAAGGCAATGAGAGCCGCGAGCCAATACCAAGAAGAGAGATGAACCCAGATGTACCCTCAGCTCCTGGAGCCAGCCAAGAAGACTATGAAGAACTATCTGTCCCTGAGGACCAACCAGCAGTAGACAAGCCCTTGCAGCCTGAACCGATGCTGACACGCCTTAGACCTAGAGGAGCTCTTAGAAGACCAGACAGACTTATTGAACAATGCTAA